TTACAAGAACTAACTAAATAAACCCCACTAAGCTTAGGCGCCCCTCCAGCCCTAGCACGGTGCCTAACCCATCTATCTAATCTGGTAGGTGAAATTTGAGAAGGGAGGAGATCAACCTTTGTACCCACGAGAACAAGCTTAGGCAACTTTTTACTAGCTCTAGGGTCATCGTTGACTCCTTCCAATGCCTTGAACAAGGACTGTGCCGCCCGCTTAGGAAATGAGCCATCAAAGTCAACACAATCAACAACCATAACAACAACAGTAACATTACCACTGCCACTAGGTTTCATCAACCTAGTTGTGATCAACCTATCGAAATCGAAATCAGGTATCAAATTTTCAGCTGTTTGGTTCTTGACCTGCCCATAATTCCTCAAAGAATGACATCGAGCACACACTGTAACCTCATCCTTTTCCTTCTTAGACTCCCTAGCCAACCTCTTCCTCTCTGCTTTGGACACCTTTTTCTGCTCCTTTTTCCTCCTTTGTTTCTCTATTATCTCCTCTGTAACGTTACCATATCCAACCCCAGCTGGACTAAAACCATCCAAGTCAGAATCATCACCCTCTTCATCTTCTAAAAAGGGTTCAAATTCGTCAGAATCGAAATCAAAACCGGCCCTTGTTTCCAAATTACCTTCCTTTCCATCACTTTTCTCAAGTTTACCCTCAACGCCATCCTCTAACTTCTCTTCATCACCTTCAAAACCATCTTCAAACCCTTCAAATTCATTTACAACATACTCCTCGTCGCCTCCCTCTTCCACCACTTCATCTCTTTCAATAATAACTTCTCTTTTCTTATAATATCCAGGAAGGTTTGGGTCTATATCTTGCATGAAGACCCCACAACCAGGACAAATAGGTCCGTAATTCTCATCTTCTTCTCTTCCTTCACTCAAAACTAAGTCTTTACCTCCTCTTCTAGGTCCTATTTTAGCATGACCTCTTTGTTTTGTTTCAATGCTTGTTTGATTCTTAGCAACAAAATTTAAAAAACACAATCTCTTCTTGTGTTTCTTGTTCTCCAAACTCAATCCTAACAAAAAAAAAGGTGCCTTAAAAACATGCTTTACCGGTTAAACACCGCAAGGAAAGGACTTAAAAAGCTGCAGAAAAAGTAAAAGAATGAACTTACCAGTGAAAATATTAATTGGGATTGAAGATATTTCTTGTTTAATGCCATTGTTGTTAAAAAGCTTCAATCTTGGCTTGGTCACTGCTACTGTTGACAACAAAACTGCCATTTCCTTCGAGCAAAGCTCTAAAGCAGCCAAGTAGCTCGCAGGAAAGACGAAAGAGTGAGCACGAGCAATGAAAGATCATGTTCTAAACGCATCGTTTCTTGTTTCTGGAATAACTATCTTTGGGCCTCTAATTGGGCCTTCTATTATTAACCCATCTTAAACAGTTGTATTTGTACCATTGAAGTGGGCCACTATGAAAACTATGAGCTCAGTCAATTTGTTAGAAAATGATTTATTAGATTTAGATTTCGTTTGGGGCACCATCCTTAATTGTAAATTCAATTCAAGATTTTGAGCTCAGTCAATTTGTTAGAAAATGATTTATTAGATTTAGATTTCGTTCGGAGCACTATCCTTAATTGTAAATTCAATTCAAGATTTTTTTTAAGTTGTTTTAAAAGTTAAAATAAGATTGTTTTGATTTTGATTTTAAATAAAATGATATTTTATCTAAATTTGAACTTAGTTCGAACTTGAATGTTGATTTATTTAATTAACCAAGTCAATTTTCATTTTAATTCAATATAAAAAACTTGCTTCATTCTAGATTTTATAACTATAATTTCAAACAATAAGCATATTATTTATTTTTTTATAATTTTTTATACCACCTGAAAATAATATTTTACTTAGAAATATTTTTGTCTTATGTAAAAGAAATATTAAATTAATATTTTTTAATGAATTTTTTATGTCTTTGTGTGTTAATTTCAAATATATATATAAAAATATTTTAATATACTTTTAAGTGAAAAATATTTTTTAAAAGTACCTTACATTATAATAATAAACATGTATTTAGAGAGTGTCTAGTAGTGTAATAATGGTTGCTTTTTAAAATATTTTAAGCTAAAAAATATATCAAAATAATATTTTTTAAAATTATTTATGATATCAATACATTAAAAAAATAAAACAACATATTAAAAAATTAATTTTAATAGAGAAAAAAAGAATGAACCACAAACGATTGCGTGATATATATAAATAACATAGAAATTTAACTATGTAGTTGGTAGACAAATTTTGCCCCTTAATTTTTTCAAATAAACCAAGGAGTTATTTTTTCTATTAAAAAAGCTAAATTCGATCCCAACATTCCAACATTTATTTATTTTTCTATAAAATTATCATCTGTATTTCCTTGAAAGTATTATTAATTAATTTATTTTCCAAAGAGATTAATTTATAATTTTTTAAAAAACATAAAAAATATTAACAAATTAGTTTATAAATCTATTTAAAAATGTAATTGTAATTGCTTTTAAAAATACTTTATACTTAGAAATGTATTAAAATAATATATTTTTAAAATTAATGCATTAAAATAATTTAAAAACATAAAAAAAAATTAATTTAAAGTACTGGCCCGGACACTCCACGTAAATAAAAAAAAATATTGTGAAGCATGTTATTTTTAAATAATATTTTTATTGAAAAATACATAAAAATATTTTTTTACAATTTTTTAATATAACCACATTGAAATTATTAATTTTTTAAAAATTAAACATACTTAAATATAGTCTTAGAGGAAAGAATAAACCGTGCCTAAATTGTAGAGGTAAAATAAGAAAAAAAATCTGGACGGGATTAAACTTTTAAATGGATGAAGAAATAATGAATATCGTGGAGAAGGATAAGGTAGCTTCAAACCACCAAGAGAAGAGTAACCCGAGGAAGAGGAAAGGAGGGCATGTAATAAACAGGGTTAATTAAGAGTGTAAATATAATTATTTTTATAAAAATTTATATTTTTAATAGAGATTAAAAATATTAATTTAAAATAAAAAATATTTTTAAAATATAAAAACAAATACTTTAGTAGATACTGTATAAACTCTCGAGAAATCACTTTGTAATATATACACACACACATACATAATCAAGGAGGATTATCTCCGTTGAATTCTATCATTAGATTAATTTTTTAAAATCATTTATTTTAATGTACAAGAAAAATATAAAAAATATATTGATAAAATTGTAAAAAAAGATGGTTAATCAAATGATAAAAAAGAAAAAAAAAATAAAAGATGTGGAATCTGGATAGACATGAATTTTTACAGTACATGTATTTTTTATATATGTAATTATTAGGACACGCTTTTTGATGGCATGGCGGGATCTGTAAGGTGTCAAAGTAAGATCATGTTTTTATCTTACCGACCAGCAAAGGCACGTGTTAAACGCGCCGAGCGGGGTGTTGGGTTACCTAATGTGGCCCCACATCTAAAGACGCGTCGTCATCAAATTCCATGATCCTGGCCATTGATGGTTTCTAAATTACATCGCAGCCGTTTTGATTAGGTTGCTTTTTTATCGCAACTCAATAATTGCTCACATGGGTGGGTCCATGATTCATGTATTCTTTCTTTTTTTCCTTGTATTTTAATTAAAAAATATGCTAAAACAATAATTCTTTAGATTTCTTTTATATTTTTTACATTAATGTCTCGCGATTGGAAAAATAAAAATATATCTGATTAAAAGAATCGAGATAAAAATATAAAATAAATTTTTAAATAAATTAATTTTATTTTATTTTAAAACACAAAATACGTACTTTTTTTTTATTATCACAATTTTTTTATTTTAATATAATAATTAAACGCTATCTAATATCAGTATACAAACTAAAGTATGGGCAAATAAAAGAAAAAAATAAATATTTACACTTAGCCCCAAAACAAATACTATATATTTTTTCCATCTCCCACTAGATGGACACTCAAGGCCTTAATTACCTCCCGTGTTGTTACCTTCCTTGACTTTTCCTCTCCTGTCTCCATCCCCCACTATTGTTAACTATTTTCTCCATCCCCCGCTAGATTGATATTTAATAGTAATTTTAATCCAAATTTTATGCATAAAAAATTCAACTAAAAACATGTAAAAAATGATTTTTTAACAAAAAATAAAAAAACCTACTTATAATTTAAAATTAGATATTTTTTTTATTTGGATATCCTCATATTTTTTTTTAAATAATAAGACTAAGTGTGTTTTTTAGAAATTAAACTTGTATTTTCATTCTTAAAAGATATAATATTGTATTAACAATTAAATTAATATTTTATTAGTAAAAAATTAAATAATATTATCGAGTAACTCTAGATTACATTTAATTAGTGTTTTAAAATAAAAAACAAATATAAAAATAATATATTGTATTTTCAAATAGAAAAGTACATCTCATTTTTTTTTACATTAGAACTATCGAAATTATTTTTTATTAGCAAATAATTATTACATTGATGAAATTTAATTCCTTCACCACAAACAACTGTCCACTAGTCAAATTTATTTTTTTCTAACTTGTTTAAAGGGTGTTTGAAATTGTGATATTAATTATTTTTTAAAATATTTTTATTTAAAAATATATTAAAATATTTTTTTTATTTTTTTAAAAAATATTTTTAATATCAGCCAATTATAATAATTTAAAATATCAAAAAATATTAATTTAAAATATAAAAACAAATCACAGGACGCGTGATGCAAAGCTCGATGGTGCTGCCACAGGAACCATCCTTATCTTTAAAAGTCAAAGGTCAAAAACAAACACCTGGAAACTCCGTGTTTACAACCCATTACCGGATAATAACCGGCTATTTTTAAACAATGCTGTCCAGTTAAAACCCAATCAAATCAAAATAATAAAAAAACAACAGGCTGATTCGGTAATTCCGAACCTAAGGCTCGTAAGACCCGCACCAATCAGGTTCGGTCTCACCCGCCCTATAAATACCAACTCATTTGGCTTTTTCATCCTAACACACCCGTATCATTCGCTGTTTGGTCCTTAAGAGAAACATATATTTTCTTCTTCGTCCTCGCTTAAGGTAAGAAGAAAATAAAAATAAAAATCAGGCCTTTAATTACCCGGATCTGTTTTGATTCGCTTTTTTTTTTTGCTTTCTATAGTGATTTTTTGTTTGTTTGCTGAGAAAGCTGGAGGAAAATGAAGGATAAAGTAAAACAGAAGGAAATGAGAGGCTAATCGGTTTTCGAAATTTAAGATTTTGAATTTCCGTAGAGGAAAAATAGTTTTTATTTTCCTCGGTAATCAAATAGAGCTTTGCCTGGTTCATCTGTAAGATCTTGTGGTTGATTGATGTCATGTGATTATAAAGTTTGAATTTTTTTCTTGTTAATTAGTGTTTTATTGTGTGATTAACATTTTTAATTTTGATAAATCTTGATTGAGCTGGGTGTTAATATGTCAATTTAACGTTGGCTCGACTTGAAGTACTAGAACAGATTAATAATGGTTTTTGTTAATTCTGAGCTGATTGTAAAGGTTTTAACTCGTTCATTGCTGCTGGATAACGTTTTTTTTTTTTTGCTGGTTTATCATTGATTATGACAATTTTCTGTATAAATGTTGAATCTTGGCTTGGATTTTGAAAGATTTGAACTTATCAATAAGTAAAACAATTTTGAATGATTCTCAAATAGAAAAAGAAGTTGGTTAATGAGTTGATCAGTGTTAATCACAAGTTAGAACTTGCGTACAATTTGAGAGCTTGCATTGAATTGAATCTCATTTTTTTTTAATCTTAATTTGGAGTAGAGAGCTGCAGATTTTGGATGGGAGGATTTGATTGTGGTTTGAAAAGGATGGCACTAGTTTCGGGAGGAAGATCAACACTGAACCCAGATGCTCCTCTTTTTGTTCCTGCTGCTTACAGACAAGTAGAGGATTTCTCTCCTGAATGGTGGCAACTGGTTACAACTACAACCTGGTTCAGGGATTACTGGCTAAGTCAGCATCAAGATGAGAATGGATTTTATGACAATGCTGAAAATGATTTTGGCTTTGATGGGAACGATGTAGCTGATTTGTTACCGGATACATTTGATCTTGATGCTGGTGATTATTTTACTAGTCTGGAAGCTCAATTTGCAGATTTCATCGAAGAAAGCTTTTCTCCTTTACCTTCCGATGGGATGCTTGAACATGGTATGTCTTGAGAATGTTGTGAAATGGAATAGGGTTAAATTTAGCATGATTACTTTGTAGAAAATTGAGAAGTTGGGATGCTGGGGCTGATAGTTTGTTTTTGCTCTATTTTTACAGGTTTTATGTTGGAAGTGGAGGCACCAAAGAAGGACACAGGTCTGAAACCCAGCGATTGATTCATCAATCCAGATAGGCCATGACTTCGAGTTGGAGTTATCCCCAATCATAATAGGTTAATGTAGCTACTAGCTTTTGTAAGTCTGTATAGGGCAAGGTTGGAGCTCCTGTATTGCTCGTTCATCCTCGTTTTCTTTCTCTTAGTTTAATCCAAGAAAGTGCTCAGAAATGTAAAAAAAGAAAATGTAAAATTTAGTCAGAAATGCAAAAAAAAATGCTTCATATTTTGCTCTTTATATAAAAGGTTTTGATGCTTTAGCAATTTGCGGGAATCTTTATCCCTTCATTTTTTTTAAGTGAATTTAAAAAAAATAAATTATTTTTTAATGTTTAGATAACTTAATAAAAAATAAGTTAAGAAATATTTTTTAGTATTTAATTATATTATAAAAAATAAATTGAAAAATAATTTATTAATAATTTATTTTTTTTAAATTTATTAAAATAATAAAAAATAAATCTTATGAATTTAAAAAGTAGATGAGAATAAAATTTAAAAAGTATAATTTTATAAATTATTTTTTAAAAAATAAATAAAAATTAAAAAAATTATATTAACATTATATAAATTATTTTAAATAAAATAAATAATAATTAAAAAATAAAATAGATAAAAAATTTGAATAAAAAAATAAATAATAATTATAAAAAATATAATAAAAATTAATATAAAAATTAAATTTGATGAGATGGAATTAAATAATAATTATTCAAAATAAAATATATATAACAATAAAAAATTTAAAGATCAAATTTGATATAATTAATCAATAATATGATATTTTTAAATTTTTCATAATTTTTAAAAAGTATTTTTTACTCAAATTTTTTAAGAAAATACGTTTTTAAAAATGAATTAAAATTTTTTTTTATTAAAAAATATTTTGTATTGATCAATTTTTTAAATAGTAAATAAATATAAAAAATTTAAAAAATTATTACTTAAAAATTATTTTAAAAAAAAACAAACATGCCTATAATTTCAAGCTGACAATTCGGTGGACCTTGTGCTCATCAATGCTTCACAGGGGACACATGATTAGGTCGCTGTACCAATGGCACTACAGGTGAACATGGGTGGGAAAGCACTTGCAATGATCTTGCCAAGCACTACTTGCTTCCTGTCTCTTTCTAGGATGTTTGGCCTGTGGGATAACTAGACAAGACAATCACTGAAATTCCAAGCATAGGAAACATTATTAAACTCACAATCTTGCAATGACGTAAAATAAGATTCGTAAGAACTTCCCCAGAAACTTGCAAAGGAGATACCTTCGAGATGAAGGGCTTGCTTCATTGCCTGTCTACCAATAATTTCAAGCTGACAATTCGGTGGACCTTGTGCTCATCAATGCTTCACAGGGGACACATGATTAGGTCGCTGTACCAATGGCACTACAGGTGAACATGGGTGGGAAAGCATTTGCAATGATCTTGCCAAGCACTACTTGCCTCCTGTCTCTTTCTAGGATGTATGGCCTGTGGGTAAGCAGTCAGGAACGCGGTGCCCTCTTGACTGACCTAACACTTCTAATTCACAGAGAGGGATAACTAGACAAGACAATCACTGAAATTCCAAGCATAGGAAACATTATTAAACTCACAATCTTGCAATGACGTAAAATAAGATTCGTAAGAACTTCCCCAGAAACTTGCAAATGAGATAACCTCAACCTTCAAGATGAAGGGCTTGCTTCATTGCCTGTCTAGTTCATTCATTGAACCTGACTGCAATTCTAGGGATTACACTGACAAAAAAGGGGAGAGTGCAATATCATTACATTTGCTTGATAATCACAAGGAAGCAAATATGGAAACTACAATTCGCTGACAAACGAGATCCACGAGTGTCGAACAAGCAAAATGCAAACTAACTTGCATTCACTGACAAGATCAAGGAGTGTGAAATGAACATTGAGCTACAATGCCCTTTACGGACTGTAAATTATATTATTCAATTGACTCAATATATCTCTATTTTATAAGCAAAAATGTATTAATATTGTATATGCAAATGCTACCATTTTGTCTGTAAATTACACATTTGATCCAAATGACACATTTTCACATTTCGTTCCCCTGGCTCTTCACCCATCGAGTCAAGAAAGAAACTGTCATCGAAAGCAATCTTTGCTGCACTAATCCCGGCTGCCAAAATCTTGATTTGCCCAGATGGGAAGTTAACCTTACTGTCAACCCATTTTCCTTCAAATACACGTCTCCCATTCCAAAAGTTGCTTTGGGAAGAGAAACAAACTGATCTTCTTTCATACTTGAGCAGGCAACTTTGAAAGGACATTGATCATCTCCATCCCATTTAAGCAGAAACCTCGGATAGAAAATCCAGGCTCGATTCTTGAAGCCTTTTCCTATTTTTGGCTTCTAGTTTGGTTTGGTTGCCAATAGCATCGGATATTGCCTTGGGCAACAAAAATCCAGGTCTCTCAAGGAATGGTGCTCGGTCAAGGACTAAAGGTTCTCTCAAAGTGATCTCAATGCCATCATATGTCCACAAAGTCAGGGTTGCTTCCCCTTTGAGGCCAACAGAAAACCAGCCTAAACCAGCTATAGAAATATCAATGCTATTGGCATCCCAGCTTGTTCCACTTACTTTGATTTCCCTCTCTTCCCATTTTCCTAACTCAGAAGCTCGATCTTCAACAGTTGGTGGCTGCAAGAGAAGGCCAGATACAGTTAGGCAGGCTGTAAAATTTATATGAGATTCAAGCCATCTTAATTACTTAAAAACTAACAAGAAAAATAAGAAAATAAAACCCCAGCAAGTGAAATGAATGTGCTAGTTTGACAGTGCTTCGATAGACTGGCAGCCTGTTAATGCACTAAATTTCGAAGGGGATCAAGGCACAATTTCACCTACAGAGAAGGAATTGCACGGTGAACTGACATCCTTCCTTTTTCTTTCCTCCAGAATCTGACCATTTGAATTTTTT